ATAAAATGCTATCTGTTTGAAATAAATAAGTCTGATATTTGTTGTCTCATTATAAGTGTGACCATATTTGTCCATTTTACCCAGTTTGTAAATGAGAAAGTAGTTTAATCTAATTTCTTTCTTTCTTTTTTTTTTCTTCAGGCTCCATGACCGCAAGATGTGCATCATTGGCCTGAGTGTGTTGATGGAGYTGCCTAGTCGCTTAGCAGCTCTAGAAAGAGTAGCTGGTCAGATTATACCTTCCATTCTGCTCCTTTTCCTGGGCCTTAAACACCTTTATGCCACCCGKCTCATCAACAAACCAGATTTACTGCCCCACGCAGGAGTTCAAGATGAAGACCAAAATGGTGAGAATCATCTGCAGTGTTTGAAGCAGGGGTGTGACTATGGGTGTACCTGGGTGGGCCTAGACCCACCAAATTTGTACCAGGGCCCACCCAAACAAATGGCTTTCTTTAAAATATAATAACAATAATATCTATATTTTTTAATGTTTTTTTATTTTATTTTTGAGGTCGCTTACCAGCTCTAGAAAGAGTAGTTGGTCAGATTAACGACATTTCACCCCATTAAACTAGCATATTTACAATTTATTAATCTTTATTTAACCAGGCAAATCCCATTGAGATCACAGGGTTTTTTTTTTACAAGAGAAGCTTGTGCCTGAAAGCAACCTATTGTAAATGCTTTTGGTCTGTGGGAAAAACTGGAGTACATGGAGAAAACCCACTCAAGCATAGGGAGAACATGCAAACTCCACACAGAAAGACCCCAGGTCTGGTCTGGAGATCAAATCCAGGACTTTCTTGCTGAGAGGCTTCAGCACTAACCACTGATCCACCATGCTGCCTAAAAACATCCTAATTTCTCCTTTAAAGCTACTCACTTTACTCACGCAGTGGTCATCATATTATTATATGAACAGTATCATATGAACAATTTGGAACTTACGCTACAACTAGGGCTGGGCGGTATGACCTCAAATTCATATCACTGTATAAAATGAACCCCATCATGGTAACGGTAAATATCACGGTAGAAAATTATCATAAAAAGTTAAGATAATGTAAATTTTAGAGCTTTTTTTGCAAAAAACTGTAATTTTAATTAAACCCAACATTTATGCTTTAATATCTGCCTGCCAAACAATGAGCTTCTGCCTGCTGAACTTATCAGCTGCTGCTCTGCTGCGCGCTCATCTTCATCATCATCATCAGAGCAGAAGCTGACTTTACATTAGCAACATGGATTTACGGCTGAACAAACGTCCACGTCTGTTTTTTTTAAAAATAATCTCTGTGGGTAACAATACATAAAAAACCTTTTTTTCTCCGACAATTGGGTGTGAAAAACTACAGTTAAAGCTTCGCTCTGCGGGACGTGCAGCGAGAGGAGAGGAGAGGAGAGGAGAAGAGAGGAGGAGAGGAGAGGAGAGGAAATGATCCTGCGACACGATGTAACTTCTACAGCGGGAGGAGGATATTTTGAGGATTTATTCTCTCTATACGTGTTTTAAAATGCTAGAATTTCTTTATTATGTTTCGAACTCCTGCTCAGTTGTCTCTGCACTCGCAGCCCTGTTGACACAGGTGCGATGACGTAATGACGATAGGACAGTAGAGGGTAAATTTCTACTGTAGGCCAACTTCATACCGTTTCTACCGTCTACCGCATATACCGCGCAGCCCTAACTACAACTATTAGAAACTCAACTTTAGATCTGTGTTACGGTTCTGTGAGAGGTGCTTATAAATCTCTCCCCATGCCTTCACTTGGAGCATCCTACTGCAAATAGTATGTATTTAATGCCTGTGTATAAGCCCATTTTTATACGAATCCAGCATACAGAAAAGGAAGTGATTGGACAATGATTTGCAAGTGTGCTTTGAATATACTGATTGGTCATGCTTATTTAGTGCTTGTGATGGACTAAATGAACTCTGTTACACTGTTTTTTCATATCAAAAAGAAAAAAGAAGTAGGTCCTCTGGACGGGTTCTTCTTTAATGAAATGTTTCGTCTCTCTTCCAAGAG